TTAACAGTTTCAGAAACCTTACATATATCATTGATGTATAATATAAATAGTTTAGGTCCCAAAACAGAGCCCTGAGGCACTCCACATACAATATCCAGCTCACTCGATTGGTATTCACCCAACTTCACAAATTGACGCCTCTGTGTCAAATAACTTCTGATCCATTTCCAAACTATTCCTCTGATCCCATATTTCTCTAACTTATCCATTAATAGTTCATGATTAATTGTATCAAATGCTTTTTTTAGGTCAATAAATATCCCCATCGTATATTTTTTCTCATCCATAGCACTTGTAATGTCGTCCATCAGGTCAGTAATGGCCAAGGATGTCGATCTTTTCGTCCTAAAACCATATTGGCAATCAGATAAGATTTTATGTTTGTCAATAAATGTGTCTAACCTGTTATTAAAGAGTTTTTCCAGAATTTTTGAAAATTGTGACAACAGAGAAATCGGTCTATAATTTGTGAAGTTGTGCTTATCACCAGATTTATACCTGTGTTTGTTCCTGTTTTGTGTGTGTTTCAGGAGCAAGTGGAGTACATCTTCCTCATCATCTTCACTGTGGAGGCCTTCCTGAAGATCCTGGCCTACGGCCTGGTGATGCACCCAAGCTCCTACATCCGCAACGGCTGGAACCTGCTGGACTTTGTCATCGTCATCGTTGGGTGAGGAAACAGGAACTGCCAGACGCGTCGGCTCTGTTCATGTGGTGGTTTTCTCTTTGGATCCAAGTTCTGTCTCCACGTTTTCTCTTTAAACAAATGCTTGTTCTCTCAGCAGACGTCAGTGAGCACTGAGGATTCATGCAGCTTCTCTTAGAGGGTTGTTGTATTATATAATGTTGGTTCCCTTCTCTCTCTGTGCGTGTTGCAGCAGTAAATCTGACCAGACTGCGGTGAGCTCTGCAGCTCCTGTGGCTGGAGCTGGAACCAGCACTGTGCCGACACCACTCTTCTGCGGTCAGTGTTGACTGTGATAAAATCTAAATATACTCACCACCCTCCAGCAAGAATCCAAAAGGACCACGCTTAGTGTGAGAAGCTAGTGTAGGAATGTAAGCAGAGCAGAGATTATTGACAGTCTTCCTTCAGACGCTGTACAAAATGAAAGCTGTTCTTGGCCTGTGGAGTTGCTGCATAAGAAACGTCACTCAGTGATTGATGTCTGGTTGAATTCTCTTTCTAACTACCCGCCAGCAGCTGCGGGGGCCGTGCTGGGGAAGCTACTTTACAACCTACCAGCTACTTCACACTGGAAGAAGTTGAACTACAGCAAAGCTGCTTAGGGTGAAATCTAGTTTGGTTAATAAAAGAAAAGTCACGTCACTAACAAATGCCACTCAAGTGAGTTTATCTGAGACCTGAACTTTTACTAAATAAAATCCCATCTGAGCTTTTCGCAAAGACTAAACTGCAGAAATGTTACATCTGGATTTTGTATGATCTGAATATGACTAAACCAGTAAGGAAACATATTTGACTTGGTGTCTGACCAACTGAAGACAGGCCAACAAACAGGCCTGTTGTCTCACTGGGCAGTTTTGACCAATCAGACTTATGGTACAGTCTTAGCAACAGGCTTCAACTTGCACCTTTTGAGACACCGTGAACAGCCTGAAGACCGGAGTCAATGACAGGCTGATCTGTTCCTTGTCTCTCAGAGTTCTTATCCAGCAGGCAGTTTGGGTCTGCCTGCTCCCTGCATCATGTGTGGATGTAGTTTTCTCAGTTTGAAGGAAACAGACCAGAGTCACCTGCTGAGGTCACAGTCAGTCCTGTGGGTCCGTGGCTTCATCCTCAATGTTTGGTTTGTGTCCTCACCGCAGGATGGTGGTGAGACTACACATCCTCTGGCAATGACGATGAAGTGCGTTGTCATGGTAACACTGTTCACTTTACAGTCAGAGATGATGCATAGAGGACACTGGATGTGTCAAGAGTTGAAAGTTTGTGTCGTAGGGAGGAGTCCCTCAGGCCTTTGTCTGTGGACACGTGGAGGTGCAAAGTGAAGGCCATGATGTTTCATGTACATCAGTGGTCCCCAACCTTTTTATCACTGCGGACCGGTCAACGCTTGACAATTTTACCGCGGGCCGGGGGGCGGGGGGTTACGTAGATTGTTTATATTGTTAATATAATAATAAGCGTGAATCCACTGTATTGAAATTTTTAACTCCCCATAACGCTAAATCAATGGGAGCCCTGAGCCCCAGCACTCGTTTCAGTGCTGTGGTGGCGATCTCAGGGTATTCTGTCATGACTTTAATCCAGAACACCGACAGAGTTGTTGTCTCGAACATACTTTTAAGGCCGCCGTCATTTGCGATCTCCAGCAGTTGATCTTCTTCTTGCACAGACATGCTGGATTCACCTGGTTTGTTGACAAATGGGTTGCGGATCCATTCAAAATAAAAGATCGTTCAGACTCAGATAATAAATAAAACGGAAATAATTAATGATTTCTTGTGCGGACCGGTACCAATTGATCCACGCACCGGTACCGGTCCGCGGCCCGGGGGTTGGGGACCACTGATGTACATCATGCTAATCTGTTTGAAGATTTTAGAAAAGTTTGCTTTGAGCAAATGAATTTCTCGTGTTTCTGAAGATTAAAATGTGGCTTGAATCTCAATCACAGCACAGATTCAGGTTTGGCTGCTGTTTCAGTTGTAACTCAGAAATCTTTTCATACGGTTGATTACAGAGTTAATGTTCTGGAGTTTCTTGTCAATGAGCTGATGGGAACATCTGCTCCCTGGTGGTTCTGTCAATAGGAAATGTGTTGACATAACATCTGGTTATCCACCCTGCACTCGACATAGGGGAACGGGTGGACAGATGACAGTACTGATGTGCACTGGTATGCTGATGATCCTGTGCTGTGCGTCACTCTCTGTTACCTTTGCTGTATTCTCCGTGTTTTTAAGCTCAGGAAATCAAAGTGTTCAAACTCTTCTCCCCACTGAAACCTTCAGACTGGAGCGCATCGTCTGATGAGCTGGATCTTAAACCTCAGGCTTCTTCTCCTTCTGTTGTTGTTCATGAGAAATCTGAGAGTGAAAGTGTTGAATCCTTCTGGCCACATTCTGATGGTCTGGATGATAAACCTCTGTCTCCCTTGTCATCTTCTTCTGTCATTGTTTGCGCAGGCTGTTCAGCGTCGTCTTGGAGACGATGACTCATAAGTCTGGTGTGCAGGCGACCACTCATCACATACCGGGGAAACCTGGGGGCCTGGATGTCAAAGCCCTGAGAGCCTTCAGGGTCCTGAGGCCCCTCAGACTGGTTTCTGGAGTCCCCAGTGAGTGGACAGGACTGGACAGGTAGTGTGTACGTGACCTGTGTGGGTGTACACATGCTAAGCTGTGTGTCTGTCTGTTAGGTCTGCAGATTGTGTTGAACTCCATCATGAAGGCAATGGTTCCTCTGCTCCACATCGCTTTGCTGGTTCTCTTTGTCATCATCATCTATGCCATCATCGGCCTGGAGCTCTTCATCGGACGCATGCACAGGACCTGTTACTACACAGGCACAGGTACACACACACACACACACACACACACACACACACACACACACACACACACACACACACACACACACAC